CCTTGGAAATGAAACAGCCCATTCTCCTTGCCCAGAAAAGAGAAGACGTATGGCAAAGCAAGCCCTTTGTTTCAGCCTCTGGAAGCAACCCGGGTGTTTGGCGTGCCTTGAGAGTGGTCCATTCCTCTGCTCCAAATGCAGATGGATGTAAAAATAGAACTGGCGTTTCTTAAGAGCTCAGCATTTTGGATCAAAAGCGAGCTGTGAACTCTGGCTCCGCAGCCTTCCTCTCAGTGCAAGGCACAGAAAGAACAATCTGCTTGTTCAGTCAGAAATAAAGCGCTCAGTGCAAGATTTGGCCCATTTTTCCTCCGTTGTATAGTGACTGCATTTACATGCGACCAAGTCCCTGCCATTAGACCAGCTCTTGTGACATTTAATTAAGGATGGGGTGATATTTGGGCCAAGAGACCATGCCTCGCCCTGCACAAAGCTGACAGAAACCACAGCAGCTCTGATCAGGTTGCCTACCTGGGGAGAAAGGAATTAACTCATTTTTTTTTTTTTTTTTACAATGTCAGTTATTACTCTAGTCTCTCGCGTGCTTTCAAGCATGGCTGTCTACACCAGGTGCTGAGAGGTGTCTCTTGCGTTTAAAACCCAACGCAGCAAAACCTGTGCTAGAAAGGGGCTGCAGGCTGTTTTTTGGTATTTGCTTCCCAAACCAATTTTATCTTGATCTGAAATTAGCCATCTGATCTCTAGACTAGAGTACTGTACTCCTAAAGGCCTTCAAATGCGGGGCCGGGGGCGTGTTGCATTATTGTATAGATCTGGTTGAGGAGGCACTTGCGGCAAGTTTCCCACGTGGATTCTTTTCCAAATCATTGCTAAAGCCTCGTAACTCTGCAGGGCAAGCTGCCGTTTTTACGTAAAATAAATCTGTGAATTTCAGAATCGCAGCCTTTTTGATTGTATTTTTTCCCCCCCTTTAATTATAGGCGGCATGGGCAGCGAATACTGTTGGTTCTAATCACTTGGCTCTCGCTTCTACCTAGATCCATCAAGTGAATTTTTCACTTAGAAAATGTGACATTTTAATATTCAGCATGGAATTAAAACTGCAAACACGCAGTATTAAGCCTAACCAGATTAGACAACTCTTGATCCATTGTGTAAAGACCCTTTGTCTCTTGGAGGGAAAGAACAGTCTTTGAACTGTAATACATTCAGATTATCAAAATGTAGGTTGAGATGGGCTTAGCTGGAGTTTAAGCAAGCTGCGGTTTCCTTTCCTGGCTGAAAAATGGAGGAAAGGTAACCTCAGTGAGTTGGGAGAGGGGGTCAGGGATGGGAATGGGCAGCGAACAATGAAAGAGTACCTTTCTGTTTGGGCTGGTGGGCTAGTATTGTCTGCAAATAGTATTTTCCAAGAGTGAGCCACATGGATGAGAGGAGGATTTCCACATGAGTCCAGGCACTGGGGGTAAAATGATCGCTGCTTTGAATGTGGAGGTTTTCAGTATCTTGATGTAATGGTTAGGATTTGCACTTGGCACAGGGACGTGCAAACCTAGCTGTGACTGGCTGCATCTGGGGGAGTTGCCTCATTGGTGTCACTGATAACTGAAATAACTCCCACGTGACCAGGCCACAGCCAGCGCCAACCATGACTGCGCAAGAAAGTTTGGGCTTGGCACATGCTCTGCCTCCTAGAAGATGGCACCACCCTTTGATCCCAGTAAGCTGTGCAGAAGGGTAGGGGTCGTCTATGCAGATCTCTTCTCCGTGGATCCCACTGACTGTCCGCAAGGTCCTGTAGGAGGCACTCCCACAAGTCAGGTTGGGCAGTCGGGACTGGCTGGAGGATCCTCTTATTCTGGCTAAGTCATCGGAAGCTCTGCTTCCTTTCCACCAACAAGTCTGAGCTGCTGCATCCTTCCCTTGACACCATCTTGCAGCAGTCACCCAGGGTCCACTTTGGCTCGAAGCTAGAGGGGACCTTGCAAAGAAGTAAATCTAAAGATTGTGGCATTAATGGACCTCAGACTGATCCCTGATCTACATTTGCTCTGCACCAAGTCTCCCTGTTCGCCGTGCATCTGCACTCTGTTTCACAGCGTTTCCAGAACAACTACGAATATGATTTGGGGCCCCCCACTGCATCCCAGATACGCTCTACCT